ATAAAATATATTTTAACCCCCATTTAGAGGACACTTATTTTTCTTTTATTGTATCAAAACAATTAGAGTAGTCTCAAAAAAAGAAACATAATCATTCAAATTCATATTTTGACACCTTTTGAGCGTTAAATCTCAATTTTTCCTGAATCTTTAGAATAGACATTGGTATATGGCCTACCGCATTTTACTTCGTATAAATACAATCTTGTCAATTTGGACCAATAACCATACCGGGGATTTCTTGTTTCGTGTATTCTTATATAGGATTAATCTATACCTTATAGCCTGCACCCTGATTTATAAGTCGTACTCTATTCATGCTATTCTATCTTTTGCATACAATAGAAAGCTCGATATCCAGAAAAGAATAGTTGGTTATTGACGTTGAACTCGAATCATGAAACAATATCGGGACTATAGTTGTTGTTGTTTTTATTACATTGCTGTTCATAGGCCTATTATAAATGAATTGTTTTTGCACTGCAGTTGTTTGTTATAAATTATTTACTATTCAACTGCAGCTTATTCTTAGGTCATTTATAAACAAAATAATGACTTAATCTATGTCATCATTGTACGAAATCATGCCAAAAACCATGAGGGTCCTGAGGACAGGACGATATACGTTTTTCAATAAAATAATATTTATTATGTTCCGTAACACACGTCAACCTCTGTACGCTAACAGTGACTTAAACCAGCTGACGTGAATCAGCGGCGTAGCTAGGTGCGAAAGGATCCCGGTGCAAGATTATTTCCGGGCCCTTTGATGTGACACTGATAGAGGAATTTCCTGGTTCTCAGAAAATTCATCGTAAGGAATGCTTTTTTTAACTCCTACTCCCAAATAACATTGATAATCGGATTCGTAACTATTTTAAGAGGGGCATAAACGGTCTGAGCAGCAGCTCTAAGCTAATCAAAACAAATTTGTGGCACGTAAAATTAAACAATTGTAGTGGCGGATTTGTACATAGAGGGGACAGGGAGTTGAAGACCACCTCATCACCACCATGGTTGGGGCTGAGGTAAGGGAATTTATTATTATAGCACCTCTAGATGGCCGGAAACGGCACTTTTGGCTTATAGTATAATGAATATAATTTCCTTTTTCAACATTTTTTTTTATAATTTTGAAAAAAATAGGGGGTCGGGCAGACTGGGGCCCCAGCCTTGAATACACCATTGAACACAGTAATCAATAATTAGGCCTACTCCTCTAAAAACCGAATATTATTGAGTGTCCCGCTGGAGTTTTTACTTCAAAATTAAAGTTGGAAAATATTTTTATTATTATTTTTAGGTCTATTTATAAATAGGCCCTAATAGCCCTGCCGAGCAAACACAAAACGTTCTTATACCGTTCGCGAACGTTGTGGTTAGGAACAAGGTAATTCAACGAAAGGACGCACATCTCTGGCATCGACATTCTAGGCGCACGTGCGTCCCTACACGCTGAACGTCACAAAAACCATAGCAACCAGACCATAAACCGTCAGCGTACGTGACGATTTACCCACGCGCGTGTTAGTTACCATGTTAGTCGCGCGTCGTCCGGTGATTACAAAGGCCTAATGATATTTTGCACTAACATTAGACTGAAATATATTCTTCATTTCAACATTAATTTTACCAAAATTGTGGTGAATTGTCGTTCATGAGACTCACTTCGCAGAAAAAAAATTAATAAATGTTCCGTATATACTCAAATGTTCGTCCTCGGCACTTTATGCCAACATTGTCAAAATGACAGATTAATGTTACATAAGAACATGAAATTTTATAAAATTCGTAAATTTTGAATTGCTATAACTTTTCATTTTCTTGGTCAATTTTCACAAATCAAATAGCAGTTTATAGAAGCAATTAACAAGCTCGCGGTAAAAAAAAAAAATCAAATGTAACAGACATTGCGAAGTACCCAAAATTAATAAAATAAAAACTAACACCATAAAACGAATGGCACACATAGACTAATAATTGACGGCTGTACTCGCAACTAGTATCGGATTGTCGATGCCACAGTAAAGATCAAAGGACTGTACGCACGCGCTATGTTCGAGAGCGGAGATGTGCGTCCTTTTGTTGAATTACCTTGTTAGGAATGTCACAAAATAACGTTCACACAACGTTGTAAGAACGTTTATGGAAGGCAATCGCCGCCAAAAATAGTTACAAACAAACAACCTACTCGAAGACAGTGGTGGCGCCAGAGGGGCTGGGGGCTATAGCCCCCCCCCGTCGGGGAAGCATAGCCCCCCGTCGGGGAAGACGATAACTTTTGTCGGGGAACAAACAAATTAAAAACAATATTTACATGTAATATTCGTTTAGCCACCATACTGTTTGTGTTAACTTTTCATCACAACAACAATAACAATAATAATAATAATAATAATAATAATAATAATAATAAATAATAATAATAATAATTCAATGAGACTAATTAAAAATAATTTGCGTTCTGTTATGACAAATGCTCATTTAGATAGCCTCATGATGGTTGGAATACATCGTGATAGGTGAAGAAACCTCGACCATGACAACGTGGTTGACAGATTTCATGCAAAATTTCCAAAATATAGAATTTCACTTTCACGAATGAGGATTTTAAAATAAATTAGATGGTTACATTGCGTACTCTTTGTTTCTTGCTGTATTCAAAATGTTTTTGTTTTGGAAGCTGATTTCAACTTTAAAAAGCATAGCCTACATGAAGTCATATTATAATAACTCGATGCCTATCAAATAAGTAATAAAAATTCGCTATAATTCATTAAATATCCGTGGCTTCCAGAGGGCCCACCGGGGTCCTAGGCGGCCCCCTGGCCCCCAGCCAAGTGAGACTCGATTTGCTCCACTAGCCCCCCCCCCCGTCGGGGCCTTTATCCCCTACATCAGGCAGATCCTGGCACCATCACTGTAATCGAAGACAAGATTAGATCACCTACTCGCAGAAACGTACCTACTCGCAGAAACGTACCTACTCACATAAACAATCAACCTACTCCCAGAAATGAACAACCTACTCGCAGAAACGTACACGCTGTAAAGGACAACGTTAGACTTGCACAGAAACGTACAACGTATTAATTAGCAAAAACAGACAACAAAAGACACTCAGAGAAACCAACAACCTACTCGCAGAAACGAACAACGTAGTCGCAGAAATGAATGCGCACAGCACTCTCAGAAAAGGACAACGGAATCGTCCATTTCAAAATTGGTCAACAAAATATCGCATCTTAAGGCTGAATGTAATTTTCTTCTTAAACATAGTCCCCTCTGTAACACTTGCCTCCCAATGTATGAGAAGCTCGTTATTTTAAGCTATTTTGTCCTAAAACACCAATGGATAACAATTCGGGGCTGTGTTTCTGTGTTTTAGCCACAGAGTATTTAGGCCCACTTGCAATTACAGCGCAGGCCCCACAGCCCTTTAATCTGGCCCTGTGTCATGAAAGTTTTACGTATGGACGAAATCTAGAGATTAAATTTTAAACAAGTTATTTTTGCTGTCATTTATTTTATATTGTTTATAGCAGACTAACGCAGCTACACTTTTTAATCATCACGATGCCTATTATTTACGTAGAACTTTCCCTATACTTCAGTATATTGCAGTACTTTGAATGACAGATACGACAATGCTGATAGGATATCTGCTTCAATGAATAATTGAAACATATACTTCGGTAGTAGTGTCACCACATGGTGGTTTTAAATTGTTTCAGAAAATGACTTTCCCCTACCGTTAGTGATGGTGTGCGAGATGGTGTTAGTGCCTTGACCCCGCAGCAAATCCGCAGCTTCATTTAGAAGCCTTCCGGCCTCCTTCAGTGAATTGTTATCCATCGGCGTTTTGGGAGAAAATGGCTTAAAATAATGAGCTTTTGTTATCTTGAGAGGCAAGTATTACAGAGGGAGCTATAGTACGGTATGCTTAGGAAGAAAATTACATTCAACCTTAAAATACGATATTTTGCTGACCTATCTTGAAATAAACGATTCCGTTGTCCTTTTCTGAGAGTGCTGTGCGCATCCATCCATTTCTGCGACTACGTTGTTCGCTTCTGTGAGTAGGTTATTCGTTTCTGTACGGAGCCCCTAAAGGGACATGGTTAGAAAAAATATTAAAGTATTTCGAGGGAACGAAATAATATTTCGAGGGAACGAAATATTATTTCGAGGGAACAAAATAATATTTCGTTCGAACGAAATATTAGAGTCTACTAATTCGTCGGGGAGAAACAAAAATTGTATGTATTTTCTACATTAGTAAACTCTAAGCCTTTGAAACCCTTAAATTGTCAAAATTTATAAACTGTCGAAATCTTTTAATCGAAGCTCGACCACACCCACTTAGCTTTCGCCGGGGAAATCTGACCCCTCGTCTTGGGCATCGACCCCCAGCCGGCCACGCCGCTGGGCAAATCCTTGCGCCACCCATGACGAACAGCCGACGCCGAAGGCACTATGGGCGTACGATATACGAAATATTATTTCGAGGGAACGAAATAGTATTTCGAGGGGACGAAATAAATTTTCGTTTGAAATCCTATACCTCCAGTCATATTCATCTGTTGATTGTTCTTCACTGTCTGTTTCAATGTTTCTGGGTGCTGGTGAATTAACTCGTTAAAAACCATTTCTAACCATTTGTCGAAGGAAGTTATTGTAAATAGATTCTAGTTTGGATATTTCAGCTATTATCCATATATGGTTCTACAAAATAACGTTTTATCACTAAACTGTAACGTTATTATAACGTTCATATAACATGAATAATATTGTTGAATAAATTCATCTGGTTGCAAGTTAAATTTATTAGAACTATTACTTTTACGTTGAACCAAAAAAACAAAAAACAAAAAAAAAAACGTACAATAGACTACCTGTAATAGACTACCTGTAACGTTTCATTGGCAGACTGTCAACTTCTTCAGACAGAAGCCTGTGCTATATGGTCTGGTTTGGTCCGGGTTGCACAGGATTGTGCCACCAAACGCTCTAGATGTTTTAACGGTGGTACGTCTCCGGTGCCCCCTCCTGCTTGTATTTTCCAGCAACCCATCGTATATGTGCGACAAGTCGTATCCTCCGATATCTCTGTTTATATTATGGTCCCTTTTTCGATGCAAATTGCCTCTTTTATTTTCTTTCTATCTAGTTGGATTCTTTTGCAATAGGCTAACTGTGGCATTCCAATTCGGAACATAAATAAATGTTAAATTATTATTATTATAAATAAATAATATTGTTAGCTGGGTGGGCCCCGTAGCTACGCCATTAAGGCGTGTATTAATATCTAGGCCTCCCTCGGGCCTAGGCCGAGTAGTAGTGTACTCTAAGCTTACCAGTCAGTATTGCCCAGTCGAAATTGTTTCCATTATTCTTCCAGTCTTTCGTCTTCAAAGCAGGGGTGGTGCCAGCGAGGGGGCCGGGGGGCAGGGCCACCGTCGGGGAGAGCTGGGTTCCCCGTCAATCAGAAAAAGCACAATTCGTCGTGGAGAAAAAAAATTGTATGTATTTTCTACATATTAGTAGACTCAGGGAACAGTCCCGTTCCCTGGTAGACTCTAAAATCGATTAAATAAGCCTTTGAAACTCCTAAATTGTCAAAATTTGCGGGGGCTCCTCCCCTGGACCACTTTCAAAATCTTTTAATCGAAGGTCGACCACGCCCACTTTGCTATCGTCGAGGAAATCTGGCCCCTCGTCGGGGCATCGGCCCTCCATCGGGGACCTCACCTCGGCCCCCCGTCGGGCAAATCCTGGAGCCCCCCCTGCTTCAAAGTCGAATTCTAAAGGTTCAAAATAGTATGGATCAAATTGTTTCATTATTTTATTCGTCTTGATCAACTTGACTTAGACTCCTTCATATGCCGCGCTATACGATGTAAATACTTGCGTAATAAAAAGATTGCTGTGACTGTTATACCATAGAGAAAATAGAACATATTTTAATAGAACATATTTTCTCTATGGTTATACCGAGTCTCGTCGTGTCAGTATGGAGTGGCGGACCCAGAGATGTCCAAAAAAGGGGGATGGGGTGGCCGAAAGGAAAGGGAGTCGAAAATGGGTCTGATCGAGACAACACCACCCTAGTGGGTCCGGGGCATGCCCCACGAAATTTTTGTGTTCAAGACGCCCGAAAATTTGACTCCGAGGAGCTCATCCGCCCTTTGTTCAGCTATTGGTATTTCTTGCTGCTGGGTGACCATAAACACCCTTCCCTCAGCAGCCACTAAGACATTTGAGAGGGTTGTCAGTTTAGTCGCCGACGCTTCGACCGGATGGAGTTTAATGTCGTACCCAGGACGTCCCTAACTACCTTAAGCTATGCTTAACTACTCTTAAATACAGTATATTACTCTTAACTACAATTAGTTAAACTATCCCCCGCCGGACACCATCCCGGTATTTAGCAGTTTCGGGGCAATTCTATAAACCATAACATAAGTTAGTTAAATAAACGGCTTTTGAGAAGAGATTTAAATGTAATGATGGAAGTTGCATGTTTGATGTGTAATGGGATGTTATTCCAGTTGGTTGGAGAAGCAAATGAAAAGGCACAATTGTCATATGACTGTGTGAATGCTTTAGGGGTATGAAGAAGCCCTTTAGTGCTGGAACGTAATGTTCGCTTGGTGGAGTGATCTTGTATTAAGCATGTGATGTAATGTGGTACGTTGTTATGCCTGGACATAAATAGCATCTGATAATTTTTTTAAAGGGACCGGGGACGGCCCAGCCTCCCACAAAATCCTCCCCTAATATACAATATAAAACACCCTCATTTTCAATATTTATGAGAAGATAAATTATTACAACTCAAATGTAATCATTATTCATGAGCAACGTAAAAATGCATTTACCGTCTGCTTAGCCCACCCATCTGTTCTGATTTTTCAGTTGTTAAGTTTGCTTGACACTTAGATGACTATTGAATGTATATTTTGACAGATGAGTGCAGCCAAGAAGATGCACCAGAGTGTATACCGGCAGTATATGGACAATATTGTGATGATGCGGATGGAGCGTTTGCACCTGTTATTGCGCGCTGTCCACACATGTGTTTGAGGTGCCCCAGTAAGTCACTGCATTTTTCACGTGATCAATTATTACCACTCAAATTTTTAAAAATAGGCCTATGTAATAATTTATTCACGAGAAAAGTAAAAATGCATTTACCGTCTGCTAAGCCCCGCCCATATGTTCTGATTGTTCAGTTGTTAAGTTTGCTTGACACTTAGATGAGTATTTAAATGTATATTTTTGACAGATGACTGCAGACATCCCGATGCACCAAATTGTATAGCATATTACAACTATTGTGAGGATACGGATGGACCGTTTGCAAATATTGTTGCACACTGTCCACACATGTGTGAGAGGTGCCGCCCACCTGGGTAAGTCACTGCATTTATCCCGTGATACTTTAGGTGTTATGTCTAGAGTGTCATAAGTTTTAGATTAATGGCTTTCCAACAGTAACATGTTCAAACGGTTCAAAAGGCAACTAGAGAAGCATTTAGGGCCGTCGGAACCGCACCGGCCGCACCACTTTAACCGGACCACTTTTCTTCATTCTATTACTTTTTAAAATAAATATATAGGCCAACTGATACCTATACATTATATGACTTTATTATTAATGTTCGCATCGGATTGTCTTTTTAATGTTACATATTTCAACAAAAACCTACCATGTGCTTGTTTTTGTATAGGCCTACCTGTGTACAACTTTTTAGAAAAACCTTAATTTTAGTAATTAAGATTATTTTTAAAATGTTTAGCGGTATAAATATAGATGTGTATAAGAGACAGGCGCTTTTAAAATTAAAATTAAAACGGAACAGTAGAGAAAATCCGATTAGAATGACAAAATAAACTAAGCATCCACTGGAAGTAATCCGAATATCTGCAGACGGATCCGTTTCGGCCTTCCAGGCCTCATCAGTGCAGCTAGGGTATAAACCCAAACGAAACGTTCGACCAGATTTTTTAAAACGTTTTCGTAACTTATCTATATTTTTTATCTTTCAGGTAATCATGTTTCATGAAACACATCACCACTCTTCCGTTCTACAGCAAATCGTAGACAGGTTAAAATATGATAAATGATTTTTTTACCGGCTTCTTAAAGAACAGACAATAAAACACTTTTATCCATAATCTGTTTGTATGAGTGCATGGTAATGGATGTCGAAGAGAAGTGAGAGAGAACTCTCTCCGACACACCTCATACAAATCCCCACACCCACGTTCTATCGGTGTGCTATCCAGTTAATGGCATACCATTATAAGGAGCATATACGCTGTTAATAGTAAACCTGTTTATTCGTATAGGCTTAACAGATGTACCTTTTGGATAGGAATGAGCGCAGTGGTAGTGAAAATAAATTGCAAACCAAAATGTTACCTATAATTTTATTAGTCTTTAAATGCAGTGTTTTCGCCAATAAGGCATCAAAATAATATATTCCTGATATAGTCAGCCAATGACGTCAATTAATATTCTGCGAAGATACATGCGTCTCTGCAGGAGGATTCCCGTAGCCAATCATTAATTGGTGAGTAAATCTGCGTTTACATTGAATCCGAATTCTTAAATCGGATGATCTAATCGAATCGAATCAGTGTGTAAGAATCGGGACACTGGCGTTCAGCGCATTAGAGACACGATCCAAATTTCGGTTCGGTTGACCCGAGGTGAATGCAGCTGAACACCACATAAACACACACACCCTCGCGCCCTCTCTCATGTGTGTTTCTGTCTACTTCTTAGGCCATAGATTTTTTCCTCGCTTTCAACTGATCTTTGAGTATAGTATAGTATAATAATTATTGTTATCCATTCCAGAAACACAGAATCAATTTACATATTACAAAATCAAGAAATCATTTCGAAACATTGACAATAAGACATATCGTTATCAGAGGATAACCCTTTACAGGAGCGGATCCAGAGATGTCCAAAAGGGGAAGGGGCGGAAGTGGCGCTGATCGAGATAACACTACACTAGGGGTCCGGGCGGTACATGCCCTCACGAAACTTTGGTGTTCTAGACGCCCGCAAATGAGTTCTGAGGCGCCTTGGGCGATCATTTTTTTTTCTTCTTCTTTCTTTCTTTACTTTTTCTCTTTTCTTTTTTTTTTCCTAAATGGTGGGACCCGGGCCAGCCCACCTCCCCCAAATCCTCCCCTGCTTCAATCTGATAGGTGTGTTTCAGAAGGGATCCCCAACAAAAACAAAATACGGAAATATACCGGTAGATGATATAATTAATTATTAAGACAAAAAAGAGAATATAACAATTTCTAAGTGTACAAATTTCAATTGTACAAAATGTTTAATTTATACACACAAAAAAAAACGCTTGATATCTGTTACTCTTTTCCATTCGGGAATATGATGTTACTTCATTATTTTTTAAAAGATGTATGTTGTATTTCACCCTATCATTGCTTAACTATATTGACTTGAGTCTCATTCTCAGTGATGGCTCTGGAAATTTGCCTACAGGGGGTCAGACATGTTTGACAGGATGGTTAGGTGCAAACTATAGCCTCGACCAGGGTTCCGGGGAGAATTTTTATGGATTTGGATATTTGGATAGGCGAATTAATATTTTTGGTCGGACGGCCTGCTTGTTTTCGATAATTAGTTCCAGACACTTCATTTTTTTTTTAGAATGCAGAAACGACGTTTACAGTGGCAGCGGAAGCAGTCAGACAGACCTATTGTGCTCATATGAGATAATTAATATCATCTAATCTAGAATCATGCTTTATTATAGACAGGGGTGGCGCTAGGACTTGCCCGACGGGATTGGGGAAAGGTCCCCGACGAGGAGGCCGATGTCCCTGACTAGAGCAACGTGGCCTTGTACGGGTGTCGCTCAGAATCTTTCGAAAGTGGTCCAGAGGGTGAAGCCGCAAAAAAAGATAATTTAGAGATTCAAAGGCAGGGGCAGAGCTGGCCCTGCCTCCCCCCCCCCTACACTTTGTTTGGAAAGTTAAAAAAAGAAAAAGATTATCGCCCAAAACGGTTCAGAGGTTATTTTCGGTCGTCTAGAAAACACAAATTTCGCGGGGAATGCCCCCTGACCTCCAAGGGTGATGTTATATCGAGCGGCCCCACGTTTTTCCTCCCTCCCCATTTCGGACATCTCTGGATCCGCTTCTGAAAGGCTTATTTAATCGATTATAGAGTCTACTACAAATATCATAGTCCTACATACCAAGTTAGGCTAACATGCAAGCGTGAGACTTTTGTCCTTAAAACCCCTCCCTATAGGATATTGTAGGCAGCTCCATAATTTTATTGGTTGAGAGCGTTACTTAAAAGAGAAAGCCAACCAAACTCAACCAGGATGTAGTGCGCCACCATTTATTTGTGGCCGAATGTGTAATGACAAACCAATCCTATGTTTATGTACTGTAGATGAATATTTAGCAAGAAAGTTACAAACTATACACATATTTTTTTTGGTCGTTAAACGTGAGAGCGTGAGACACCCCGAATGCATGAGCCTTGGCTTGTATGTGTAGAAAATAGGCCTACATAAAATATTTTTTGTTTCTCTAATGAATTGTGGTTTTTCTTCCCGACTAGGGGCGGGGGTGGAAGCTCTCTCGTACAGTGGGTGGGGGTGGAATTCAACCTGGAGAGGGCCAAATTCATTGCCGTATGTAAGTTACATACAGAGGCCAAATACTGGGAGAGGATCCATGACTTCGGCATCGTTAATTTACTCACAGCCGTAGGTGTGGGATCATAAAACAGTTGTAGGCCTATTTTACTCATTTTAAACACGACTTTAACTAAACATGATACGTATTTATTGTATTAAAAAAGATGAAGGTTCCTTAAAGTCAATATTCAACAATAATTATTATGATATGCTGATGTTGAACTAACGATGTTAGCAGTTCTAAGCCTTTTATAACCGTGACTCATTATACCCAAATTAATTTTCTTCCCTGCGTGGTCATTCGTTGTTTTGTATTTTTGCACGATAATAATCAAATATCATAGGTGTTTAAATGAAAATAATTGGTTAATGAAACAGACACATGTTGTTTAGATTCTAATAAACCAATACGTAGTTTGAACTGCTCACACCCATATCAATATCAATCGACATTTAAAACAAAACTTCTGTTATCAACAAAAACATCAGAGAGTGCTATTTCAGAGGATCTAGTGGGGGCATTTAAACACCTTAGGACCAAGAAGGAATTCTCAATGATAGGACTGATGTTTGTTTGGACCCTTCTGTCTGAGCAATCACTAATGCCTCCGCCGCCGCAACAACACCACTTTATCTGCAGCTCCCATTATTAAACAAGAAAGTGACTGATTATTTACTCAGATATCTTGAACTTCCTTGCCTCTGGGAATATGTTAAAGTAGCCGAGAGATAGAGTCGGTACGAAGAACACATCTCCTCCCAACCCCACCCACTTTAATAAAATTCGGTAGGTTTGATGCTAAGATTGCTGTAAAATAAACGATTTCTATGGAGAGCATGTGACTGTTCCTGAGATTTAACACAGAGAGGTGGCGGTAAAACACTATAATATGATGTATGTATACAACTAT